CAAAAATCGTAAATGGCAGATTTTGATTCATTTGAATAAAAACGGCAATTAATGTTTCTCGACTTCAACTCCCAATCAACAGAGAACGCTGAGTAATGACAACCCAAAGCTGGCGCTTGCCATCTACACTTTTAAACTTTCAAAACTCAATGTTTTACAAAAGACTGAAGCAAAACATGTTTTCGAAAAGTAATTTCAAGATCAAATCAATTATGATAAAACATACGTATTATTGAATGTAAGAGGTGATTAAGAATAGTTTATATTGAAAACAAAACCAATGCTAGCAAAACAGTTATTGAGTCCTTGAGTTTCTAAAAGTCCAGATTTCTGCAAGATACTTTGCTACCCCTGAAACGATATAAAATATAGACTTATGACTTATTGGGGCTCAAACACTGACATCAGCTTTATTTTAATTTTTATATCTTCTTTAGAAACACAAGGTCCACAGCCCACAATCGCAGTTTACCAACACACTCCTCAATATTTTTTTTCAATTTCTTACTTGGTTTAATAGAGTTGTGAAAATCTATTGGAGGTTGAAGCGCACTAGCAATGGAAAATGGTAATAGCATCGTTTCTTCCCATCGACACTCGGACACCCTAAAAAACAATTACACGAATTATTAGAAGCCAAGTTTAAAAAATAAAATTAGTAATTACCGTTTGATCCGCATCAGTTGGTCGTTCAATGGCAGCACTAAAATTCCCCCAAGTTTAAGGCGGTTTTGCATATAATGTTGAAACTCCTCAGGGCAAGCGGCTCCGCAATAGATTCTATCATACACAGTAATGGTCAGACAATTACCTGAAAACAGAAACAATGATAATTGTTAAACAGTTTACACTAAAACAATTTTCATAGAGATTCGGAAGTTTCACTGAAGTGATTCGTTACAGCAGAACTGATGTTTTCGAAGAAAAGTTTTCTACAGAATGCAGATGGTCTTGTTGACACAATCAAGAAAACAGGATTCATTTATTTGTGTAAAAGAAATCAAGTGAATGTCAAGTGGAAAAGGATGCGCATTGCCATGAAAACCATTACAATTTTGTAGTGGAACACGTTTTTTGCTGTATTTTATTTTTATCCTTTTTCGGGTTTTGAATGTGAAGATTTAACACGTTATGAAAATATTTAAATTGGCCATCAGGTTCCTTAGTATCCAATGATAATGGTTCATATCATGTAAATATCAATAAAAAAGCAAATCATTTGAAATATAACTTTTGACAACCTACCAATGAAAATTGGAGGGTTTACAAACTTTACCAATAAATTAAGACAATTGATAAAATAACTAAAGTTCAAGTAAAGTTCTTGAATTCGTAAACTGTAACAGAGTGAACTTGTTGTTTTAAGGTTCGCCGAACTCCGAGATTTTAGTTCCAGTAAGGAAACTTATATCATCCATAAAACGTGCGTCGTTAAACAAGACACAATTTCCAAGATTGATCTCAGAGATCTAAAATTATCATTTTGAAGTTAAATTTCGTACGGTGCATGGCATTTTTAAATTTTGGTAAATGAT